TTTCCCAGTGTCGGTTAGAGCTGATGAGGTGGATGTGGACGGGACCGTGGAAGATGACTTGGGTAAAAGCAGAGAAGGGTCTCGAACGGATGATGAAGTTGTTCAGAGGTTAGTACCTGGGATTCTGGGTAAGTTACTTCTGAAATGTTAAGGCTTTCTCTTGCTTTTGAACAGTCAGAGCATCAGTAATGGTTAAAGCCTCTGGAATATGGGGGGAGGTGCCATTCAAAAGAGAGATCTAGTCAGCTGGGAGAAATAAAATACTTCTGAAAAAGGCTGTTTCCTTCTAAATAGAAGTGAGCCTGAAACCTTGGATTCAGAAGTATTCAACTTGTTTGTTATCTAATATTGATAGTTGTATAAACCCCAGTAGATGAACAGGGGCTTACTCTTGCATGTAACTGTATGTGGTAAATGGTGTCAGCTGAGTGCCTTCTGATGAAACAGCTCTATGCCCATGCACTGCATCACCTGTAAGGTATACCACATGCTGAGGATTACAGTGGTTTTAATGTACCTGTATTCTTCCCTGAATTTCTTTTGAGGAAAAAAAAGCCTTACTTGCAAGCATGGATTTTCACGCAAGTTTTAGAATAAGGTTATGCAGTTGAGGATAGTTACTCTTGCACATATCTCATTTGCTCATGTAACTTTGGGGCTGTGTCAGTGCTTAAGGATCTTACTGTTGTTCTAACTAGACTATTACTGCTTTTGCTAGATGATAAAATTAGCGATACTGTATGTGGACAAGACTACTTGACAGATTTTCATTGTCCTAACAGAGAGGAAGAAGCTATCCAGCTAGATGGCCTGAATGCATCCCAGATCAAAGAAATCAGAGAAAAATCTGAGAAGTTCGCATTTCAAGCAGAAGTGAACAGAATGATGAAACTTATTATCAACTCTTTATATAAAAATAAAGAGGTTAGTGCCTTTATCAGTAGAACATGTTAGAACTGTTTGTGTGTGGTTTGGAATTCCTGACTACTGGTTTCTATTTCAGATTTTCTTGAGGGAACTTATTTCAAATGCTTCGGATGCTCTAGATAAGATACGGTTAATATCCTTAACTGATGAAAATGCTCTTGCTGGTAACGAGGAACTTACAGTCAAAATCAAGGTAAGAAGCATTAGGTACAGTCAGCTCTTACAGAGGAAGGGTGGGAGGAATGTTAAAAAAGAACCTCATTAAATCTAAATTTTTGGCTTAATACTGATGCAAATATGAACTAGGACCACATCAGAAGCCTTGCAATTAACTTTATCAAAGATTACTTTTAATGGTGAAAATACATTTCTGATTCTATAAAACGTATTGAAATAGTTTGAAGGTAGGTCTTCCTCACTTCTGTAGTTACTGCAAATCCAATTTATTGTAGCCAGGCATATTTGAATAGCTGCTACTCCGTTCGCTACTTCTCTGTGGCAGTCTATTATGTATTAAGATTCAAAGTGAAGTCAAACTGCATCTTTTTTTTTTTTCCAGTGTGATAAAGAGAAGAACATGCTTCATGTTACAGACACGGGTATTGGCATGACAAAAGAGGAGTTAGTTAAAAACCTGGGTACCATTGCAAAGTCTGGTACAAGTGAATTCTTAAACAAGATGACTGAACTGCAGGATGATAGCCAGTCAACATCTGAGTTAATTGGCCAGTTTGGTGTTGGCTTTTATTCTGCTTTCTTAGTAGCAGACAGAGTTATTGTCACATCAAAACACAACAATGATACTCAACACATTTGGGAGTCAGATTCAAATGAATTCTCTGTGATTGATGACCCAAGAGGAAACACTTTAGGACGTGGCACAACCATAACGTAAGTATTAAATTTCTTTAGGCTTAAAAGAAAAAAAGTTGTGTGGGTACACTTTGCTCATTGGAATATGTGGATGACTTTTGCATTGTGACTCGTATTGTTTGATTCTTGTAATACAACTTTTTCCAGTTTAATAGAAACATGCAAACTATTAACTGCATCCAAAGTAAGTGTGGAGTGATAATGTAGTTCACTTCACATTCCATTAGATGAACTAAGAAAACCACGAGCATCTTGACAACTAACTGTGGGCAAGTAATTCCAGACAGTTCAGCTGCCTGCAAACTCATTCGGATCCTCAACACAATTGTGGCCTATCAAAACCTATACAGGGGTTCTAGAGCTTCCTCTTGGAAACTGGCTGCTTTTTATATACCAGTGAGACTAGTCTGATGCAAATCTCAAACTAGAGGTAGTTTGACAGTCCTATTTTCATTGCTTTCATGAGCAGATACATTTATTTGATCTGGGTTTAGAGAACTTTTTCCTGAAGAAGGCACTTGATATGAAAAGTTTCTTCTCATCTCAGTGCTCTAGTTCCAAGTAAAGGCCAGTGTGAGAGTGCATCAAGGTCCTGATCAGTATCAATATGGGATGAGGTTTGCATTTAGACTTTGGATAGTGTGTTCTGCCCCAGCTATTAAAAACAAGTATGTGTTTCTTCTCATTGGAGCAGTTCAGTAGGGATTGTAATTTTTAGGAGCTATTTGCACCTGAACTGATAAAAGCTCACTTGCCTAAATTTGAATCGCTATAGCTGCATCAGTAGAAGAATACAGCTCCTCCTGTAAAACTGTTCTACAATATTTGTTGAGCACTTTGATTGAAGCTTTTTTTATTTCTTTAGCCTTGTCTTGAAGGAGGAAGCATCTGATTATCTTGAGCTGGATACTGTTAAAAATCTAGTAAAGAAATACTCGCAGTTCATAAACTTCCCCATATATGTGTGGAGCAGCAAGGTAGGTATATTTGACTGAGCATTGCACAGTATGAGCTTTGGTTGTGAAAACTGTCTGGCCAGATATTTCAGGATGAGGGCATACTATAAAACTTGTCTAATTTATAAAATTCTGCCATTCATGATTCTTCTGGCTAGTGTTTTACTAGTTACTTGCTCTCCAAAACTTAATGTGGTGCTAAAATCAGAAACTTTCTAGGAACTTGATTTTTATTCCAACTCGGAGAACGTTACCAAGGGAGCAAGACTGCAACTAATTATGAAGAAAGATTTTTTTTTTCACTGGCTTTGTTTAGTAGCTGGAAGCTTTGGTAGGCTCTCAAGCAGGGCCATGGTTAGGTGTCCTTCTGAAAACAGGGCAGCGTCCTAACTTTTAGGCGTGTTCTTTTGATGCTTTCTTAGTGTAGCACTAACTTAAAATCACCCAAAGCTCTGATTAGCATTATGTGTAAAGCTATGGGAAAACTTAAATGTAAGTGGAGTGACTTCCCAGTGTATTGAAAGAAAGCGTGTATGAATGAAAAACGCAACTAAAAAACCTACAGCTACCTATAGAGAAATTCTTGCGATAGGCAAATAACACAAGTTAAACTAGTGCTCTGAGAGATTAGGCTGTTTGGGAGAATATTAGAAGATACCTGGTAGGAAGCCTAGCAGTCCAAGTCCCCACTTTCAGTTGTCTTTTTAGACAGAGACTGTTGAAGAACCCATTGAAGAGGAGGAAGCAAAGGAGAAAGAAGAAACAGATGATGATGAAGCTGCAGTTGAAGAAGAGGAGGAAGAAAAGAAACCAAAAACTAAGAAGGTAAGCTTTGTCAGACTTGGGGTTTTGTAATTCATGTCAGATAGTTCAGCAGTTTTCGTAGGTAGTCTTCCTGAGGTGCACTTCAGTAGTGTGTGTGTGTGCTTTCAAATAGCAATCCTGTTCAAGTGCAGTTAGACATCTTGTCAGGAAAGAAGATGGTAAACAAAACAGACTTGGTTGAAATCAGGCAAATGACTGACAAATGCCTTGTGAAGTAGTGGTCCCAGAACTAGTAAATATTTGAGTGAACTGTTGAAAATGGTGGGTGGACTTCAGTAATCTGACATTGAGTAGTTTAAATTGAGTGTACTCTGCTGGAAGGTTTTTTTCAGAAGGCAATAGAACAGAAATACTGATACTCAGTGAATGTGCTAAACGTATGTAGGACACACCATAGTGTAGACTTAAGTTTTGTTCCCATGTGTTACACTGATTTGTATACTTGAATGAGAATATCCAGGCCATTGCATAATTTGTTTTGTAAATTAGAAAGAGCATGTATTTTTGATGTGCTATTTTATGACTTCACCTCAGTGGAGTGTCTTCAGCTGACTTAACCTGAAGTAAAGAATGGGTCTTTATTATACTATGGTGTTTACATGCCTAGGTTGAAAAGACTGTCTGGGACTGGGAGCTCATGAATGACATAAAACCAATCTGGCAGAGACCATCTAAAGAAGTTGAAGAAGATGAATACAAAGCCTTTTACAAAACCTTTTCCAAGGTAAGCTCTGAGCCTCAAGATTGTTCCAAAGCAAGAGGCTTGCTGTAGTATGTCTTGCTGTGTAAACAAAAGTGAGTGCTTATAGGATAGGCTGTTTCTAGGATAGACTGTTTCTGAAGAATTGATTAATTGCTGTCAATTGATAGACTGAATTCCAGAGAGCCTAGGAGGTATAGCATCTTGGTCAGGAGTTAATCTTTTTTTTCCCAGAGAGAAGAAGGTACTGCCATGTAAGTGTTGAGTGGCCTAGGTTTGAGAAGTAATATGCTCAGGTCATGTGGAGCTTACTGATAGTTTAAATGTTGACAGGGAGATTTTTTTAGTCTGAAAGTGGTGGTGCTGATGTTGTACATAGTGGAAGAAAGAGGAAGATACAGCTTTCTAGAAGCAATGTTGTCTTTATGTGTAAATACAACATAATGTGTTATTTTTGAGTCTTTTAACTGTGCTGTGATGATACTGTATTGGTTACTGTACTATTGGTTACTTCTGGGAGGTTGGCTTGTTAACAAAAAAAACTAGTAGGTCTCAAGGAATGTTACTTCTATGTGACTTGGCTGAATCTGGAAATTTTGTCTCTATAATAGATTCTAGCAAAGCATGGTTAGATAGTTTAATTGTAAAATAATTGCACTTTATTTGGCAAATTCATGTTACTTCTGGAAATGTATTAACTCACCAGTATTTTCCCCATGTCAATTAAAAGAATCCTCTCTTCACAGGACCATGATGACCCAATGGCTTACATCCACTTCACTGCTGAAGGGGAAGTAACTTTCAAATCCATCTTGTTTGTTCCTAATTCTGCTCCACGTGGCCTGTTTGATGAATATGGATCCAAAAAAAGTGACTTCATTAAGGTAGGGCAAGCAAGTGTGTGGGTATGGTGTCATGTCTTAAAAAAAAAAAAACCCAAACCCACAACAACCCAAACATAACCTGGCTGCTGTTTCTTCTTGTAATTCAGTTGTATGTTCGAAGAGTGTTCATCACTGATGACTTCCATGACATGATGCCCAAATATCTTAACTTCGTTAAGGGTGTTGTAAGTATAAGTCTTGCTTGCATTTGATTTTTTTTTTAAATCTTCAAATACTGCTAGCTATACTTAAGAAAGTTTCTTCCTCAATTAGGTGGATTCTGATGATCTTCCTTTGAATGTATCTCGTGAAACACTTCAGCAGCATAAATTGTTAAAGGTAAGCTAATTAATCTTAAATTTCTTCATTGTAAGCACATGACAGTAGCAAGATTTAGAAGAGTATTAGCTTGATTAATTTTACTTTACATAAGGAGTGTGACATTAAAGTGTAGGAAACCCATGCATTGCTGTTTTCAGACTCTGTTCACTTCAGATCAGGGACATGAAGTGTCTTGAATCCATCTTTTGCAGTGGGGTTGAATTGAGGGTTCTCCCAAGTGCTTATTGTTATAACTTGGTATTGCTGCTTTTTTAGGTGATCAGAAAGAAACTTGTTCGCAAAACTCTTGATATGATCAAGAAAATTGCAGAAGAAAAATACAATGACACATTCTGGAAAGAGTTTGGTACTAACGTAAAGCTTGGAGTTATTGAGGATCACTCCAATCGTACACGGCTGGCTAAACTTCTTCGCTTCCAGTCTTCTCATCATGAAAGTAACCTTACAAGCCTTGACCAGTATGTGGAAAGAATGAAAGAGAAGCAAGACAAAATTTATTTCATGGCAGGTGCTAGCAGAAAGGAGGTATGTGAGTGTGGAAGAGAGAAGGGGGAAAAACGCTGTGTCTCCTAGTTACAGTAGTAACATAAACATTATGAACTGTGTATCTGTTGTAAATGTGGAGGTTCTATGCTTATGTTACTACTGCAGTTCAGTTTTCCTTGTACCAACACCTGTCAAATAGTTGTACAGGTTTTGTAGCTGTTGGTACCAACACAATTAAACTGGCATCTGATGTGTTTTGTCATCTTAGGCTGAGTCCTCACCATTTGTCGAACGTCTTCTGAAAAAGGGCTATGAAGTGATATATCTGACTGAACCTGTAGATGAATACTGTATTCAGGCTCTGCCAGAGTTTGATGGCAAGAGGTTTCAGAATGTAGCAAAAGAAGGAGTTAAGTTTGAAGAAAGTGAAAAGTCTAAGGAGAGTCGGGAAGCCTTGGAAAAGGAATATGAACCACTCTTAAACTGGATGAAAGACAAAGCTCTAAAAGACAAGGTAAAATGTTATGCTATATGTAATGCTTGTTTGTAAATGCTTTTGTACTTGCTGCAACACACCTTGCAGATCTTTGAGCATAGACTTGACAGTATATTGAAGTGACAGGAAATTTCAGAATTATTTACTGTATAAGCTATTAGCTCTGTGAACTAACATTAAGGCTTTTTTTTTTTTTACAGATTGAAAAAGCTGTGCTATCTCAACGTTTAACCCAGTCTCCATGTGCTCTTGTGGCTAGCCAGTATGGATGGTCTGGTAACATGGAAAGAATCATGAAGGCTCAAGCTTACCAAACTGGGAAGGATATATCTACAAAGTAAGCTTTTGCTTACATAGCTGCAGACATGAAACATAGTTGATAGCCTCCCTTGCTTGGTGTGAGCACACCAAGCTTCCATCTGGTTCAGATGATCCTTCATATTTTTAAGGTCACTTATAACCAAGTTGCAGTCTCCATCATAGTCTTACATTGTTATTTCAAAGCTCAGTATGTAAAACTGCCTGGTGAGCAAGACTCGTCAGTGGCATTTGCTATCTGTCATTTGGTGACAAGAGAGACACCTAAGACAGTTGTCTTAGTAACTTGAATGCCTTTTATAGAGTTAAGCTAGTAGTAAAGTGGGGCTGGGGGAAGGAATACATTTGTTACTGGGGCTGTAATCAGTAATAATGGGTTTAAAAATGTAGCTGGGTCTTGTACTTCAACATTTAGTGATGCAACTTCTATTCTTTCAGTTACTATGCTAGCCAAAAGAAGACATTTGAAATTAACCCCAGGCATCCATTGATCAAGGACATGCTGAGGCGAGTCAAGGTAAACAAATAACAGTAGTGAAATATTGACTACTTGGCTGTATACAACCTAGTTAACAGTTCTGGGTTTTTTTTTTTTAATGCTCTTCCACATTAGGAAAATGAAGATGACAAAACAGTTTCAGATCTTGCAGTGGTATTGTTTGAAACTGCAACTTTGAGATCAGGATATATGCTACCAGACACTAAAGAATATGGAGACAGAATAGAAAGGATGCTTCGTTTAAGTTTAAACATTGACCTGGATGCAAAGGTTAGTGTGCCTTCAACTTGGGACTGATAATTGACTCATTGCTGCTACATCTTAAAAAGCAGATACTTGATAGACTTGCATAAAATGAAACCTATCCAGCTTCCTACACTTAGGTGGGCCAGCAGGAGCCCAGTTCCAGTACCCAGGTGGGAAGCTGATGACTCTGTACATCATGCTCATGTCCTCCCTTCCACTTTTCTTTCCAGTTGCTTGGGATTCTGCACTCTCATTATGCTTCTTAAGTATTGTCCTGTCCTTTACTAAGTGGTGGTTCTATGGGAGTAAATTAGGGGCCAAAGGCACATGTGCCCATCTCATTAATGGAGAAATTTATAAGTGGGTATAAGTAGTACGGGTTCTCATAATGCTGTGCAAGAACTTATGCTGGATATCTTGCTGGAGGAGGCATGATAGTGTGTCAATGCTAAATGGAACTTGCTTTCTCCTTCAAGTAGCTTGGGACAAATGTTAGGAAGTGGTAGTGAGTACTTCCATAATAGCCTGTATTTAGCTAGTCCACAACTAGTAAACATCCTAAGCAAATTGCTTGTGACCTTCCTACAGGTGGAAGAGGAACCTGAAGAGCCTGAAGATGCAGCTGAGGAGGCAGAGCAAGATGAAGAGGAGGTGGATGCTGATGCTGAAGACAGTGAAACACAGAAGGTAAGGTCTCAAGTTTTGTTTCTTTTCTTACCAGTATTTACATGCAGTTTTGTCTGTGGTGCTTCTTGGCCACAAACTTGTTCACTTTGCCGTTCATGATGCTAGTTTTTAGTGTGAGGTTTTCCAAGCTTTTCTTGGAGGGGGAAAAAACCTGCAGCACAAATGACATTTCATTCCTATCAAACTATATTACAAGAAGAAAACACTTAGGTATGTTCAAAGTTGGAGGTAAATTAAGCTTAAGAGTGCCCTATGGCAAGAAAACAGCAGCAAATCCTCTATGGTTGTCTTAATGGTATCTGTTGGATTTCCACAGCTTGTGGGTAATAACATCAACAGATTGGCAAGAGTATGGTTTCAAATGCTTGCAAAACAGACTTGCAGCAACACTACCTCTAAATAGTTCAACTGTTGTGTGAAGCCAGCCTTCACTTAACTAATGTCTGCAGTTTTAATGATGTCTTGATGGATATGCTGAACTCTCCCAATACCACAGTTTCTTGATAACATTTAACTTCTAAAGTTATTGTGATGTCCCAATTGGACCTGCTGTCTCGAGTTGCTTTTGGAAGAGGCCTGCAAGATGATGTCTTGTGACTAGCACAAATACACAGCTTTTAGAGATGCACTTGCCTACTGTTAAATGTCAGATTACCTAAGAATAAATTTGAGGAATGATGCTTGTTGTACTATAGCTACTTAATTTTGATGCCATTACTATTGTGTTTACACAGCAGTATAATGTGCAATGCCAGTAATATAACAGAGCAAAGTTATGTTGTATTTGTTGGATTAGTGCACTTGCAGATTAAGGTTTCTGACTACTGCCTGGCAAGTGATGTGCTTCCTAGCTCTGCAGTCAAGTAGAACAGGGCTACTATGAACAGCACTAATACTGTGCCTGAAAGTTAGCTTAGGAAGTATTAAAGACTAAATGTTATGCTAGATCTACTGCTGACATACAAGCAGACTGAAAAAAATACTTTTTTTTTTTTTACTCTTCATAGCAAAGGCTTAACATGCCATCATTTGAACAGAAGTTTGACTTTAAGGAGGTATTTAAAAGTTGTATTACTTCTGTTAGTCCTTTTGGAAAGCATCAACAGTACTTGGCGGTCCCAGAAGAACTGAACCTGTGGTGACTTCTCCACTTTTCAAAAAACAAGATTCTGATTCTCTCTTTGGTTTTTCTCTACAGGAATCCACAGATGTGAAAGATGAACTGTAAGCTGCACTCAACTACCATCCTGCGTTGGGGGGTTAAGAGGGAATGTGAATTAGATTGTTTTGTTTTTTTCCACTGTAAAATGTTGAAGGATGGTATGGGGTTTAAGGGTAAAGGAGGATTTCTTTTTTTTTTAAGTTCACTTTTCTAAAAACATTCCTCATGAATGTAAATTTGTATTATTTAACTGACTTGGTGTAAAATCTTGTCATGTACAAAATAAAATGTTCCCAAACACCACTAACTCTAAATTTTACATAGTAAGCTCAACTTGTGTGCTAGCACAAAGAAACAAAGGGATTGTCTGGAGCATTCAGGTCCTTTGTACAGCAGGCAGTTTGCAGTCCTTGTGCCTTTCCACACTGGCAGGCCACACTTAACTGTGTAGTGTATGCCTGTGGTTGGGTTTTGTGTTAGCAAACCTGCTGTGCTGTTTAGTCAAAATATACCTGGTATCTGAGAGCTGTGCTGAACTTGCTAGTTAAGTATTCAAGAAGTTATGTAGCTATGGAACTTGAGGCCTTCTTGTCTTGACAAACTTCTTGTCCTGTTTTGAAACATCTTCATGGGGCATCAAGCTGTGTCAGGGGAGGCTTAGATTGGATATTAGGAAAGGTTTCTTTACTGAAAGAGTGGTCAAGCATTGGAACAGGCTGCGCAGAGAGGTGGTGGAGTCACCATCCCTGGAGGTGTTCAAAAATACGTAGACATGGCACTTGGGGACATGGTTTAGTGGGCATGGTGGTGCTGGGTTGATGGTTGGACTGATGATCTTGGAGATCCTTTCCAACCTTAATGATTCTATTCTAGTTTTACCTTCATTAAAAAATAGTCTAGCCACTAAGCTGGGAACCATGAAATTAATTGTTATTCCACCCTTAATTGGTTTAGTGGTGGACTTGGTAGTGTTAGGTTAATGGTTGGACTTGATGATCTTAAAGGTCTCTTCCAACCTAAATGATTCTGTGATTCTACTGACATCTTAAGAAAGATGAGATGGGATATTTAAAAATAGCATTGGAACTGAAGTTCTGCCAGCTTGCACTGGACTATATGCGACTTGACTCCTTTGTACAGAGTAGACAGTGGTAGCTTTTACAGCTGAGATGGTGGGGGGGGAGCCCACAAACTTCACACTGAGCTTGTGAACAACCAGAAGTGGCTTACTGCCTGTGAGCTTATACCACCCTCCATGATATTTGGCAACCATACCTTTAACTTGTGTAGCTACAGCAACAGCCCTCTTTTCTACAGTTTTTTAAAGGTGAAAGCTCTTGTATGTTAGAGTTATTCCTTAATGATGTTGTTCCTCTTACTCTATGTCTCTTTAGTATGGCAAAGCACTATAAATACTTACTCTAACTCAAGCTGTATCTGTTGACAGCAAATTGTACTGTAGACAGGTTGAACTGGAGGCACTACTTGCTCTTGTATCAGTTTTAGATGTGGTTGGATGAAACACTACATTTTTTCTGAAACGCCTTCACAGGGCTCGTAGAAAGTGTTTACACTGAAGGGGGGTGTTCTCCCCACCTCTAGTAGTAGTACATGGGAGTAGTACTTCTATGTAGTGACTCTACTTAACCACACTTCTGTTTTGTTAACAGAACTTTTGTGGAGTTTTGCAATCTGAAGCAAAATAAACTTTGTAGTTAGGTGAGGGCACTAAACACTGACCTGAAGAACTTGCTTTCCATTTACTTTTACTAGGCTTCCATATTGCCCAAATACTGTTTCCATGCAATAAATGTATTGGTGTGGTTGCTGAGTTAGGGTTTATACAGAGGTGTTGGCTTTATGGAAGTATGCTGTTTGAGACTTCAAGGAATGGAAGCTTAGTTTTGGTTTTTTGAGGGAGTTTGGGGTTGGTTTGGGTTTTGCTCACTGCAGTAGTATCTTAGACACAGCATAAGAGTCTTTTGTTATTAAAACATGCTGAGTGGTCTAACCTAGAGTGTAGTTCAGCAGCTAGTGATGCCAGCTTTAATAGCAGTCCTTTGTTACAAGTTACTGAATAGGGCAAGTGCACCATTTCTTCTTAAGGCGTGGTCCTCTTACTATGGCAGCACAACTTTTGTGCTCTGTAGCGATCAACTGCTGCTGAGGTTTTGATTCAATACTTCCTAAAATACCACTTCTAGCAATACACCTCTGAGTATATCATCAATATGCACCCCTCTATATCTCTGAGTAGCAAATGTGGCTCAGGCCTACTGTATGGTTGAGAGCACTTTTGCAGCTAACAAACTTAAGAGGAGTATTGGAAGCATAGGGTTGTTTGCTACAGTATTCTTAATCTGTTAATGCCTTGCAGAATTAAGCAACCTTTGCTCTGTTACACAGCTGAAGTTCTCAATGCCTTGGCTGGTTTTAGGATGAGAGATCAGATTCAATTTCAGAAATAATAAAGAGCACACTTGAGAGTCCTGCTTTGTGCTGCTTCATCTTCCTCAGCTGAGGATATCATGTGCAACATAGCTGTCTACCCTGGAGTGACAAGTGTTTGCTATTAATAAGCACAAAATGCAGTTGTAGGCTTGCCTTTTGGTTTTTTTTTTGGTCAGCTCTCTGAAATAAAATAGTGTCAATGCTGGAAGAAGTGCCTCCCAGTCATACTGAGGCTATTTCTTTCAGTGTCACAGCCACACTGATTCTGGGGGTGTCACCTTGGCTGTTAAAACCTGGTGTACAGTCAGCTTTGCTGTTCCTAGATGGGCACTAACGAGAATGGTTTCCTCAGTGCTAGAAAAGGCTGGGGTAGAACAGATGCTCCCTGTTGCTCAGCTTCTATTAGTAGCAAGATAACATTCAGACATCCAATCCAAATTAGCAGTAACTTCCCTCTGCAGCCTTTAGATCTGAAGCGCCTTTAGAAAATAGGGAGAAATGCATCTTTTGTGTCAGAAATCAACAACAGAATGACAGGTGATACTCTGATTAAGTGTAACGGGGTAAGGGTTGGTGCATTCTGGCTCTAAAGGGATAGCTGAAAAACTGCTATTCCTGCCCTGGTTAGAACAGGAACAAAATACTGCTGAACTGCCCCACCTTGTCTCTTCAATAACCTTTATCTTATGCTAAGGTGGAAGGTTGTCAATCTTGGCTTTGTTTAGGTACAGTGAAGGAAAATGTAGTTTCACCAGAACTGACCCTAGTAAGATGTTCTCTTTGACTTCATTTGGGATTAACAGCTGAGATTTACTTGAGACCTTTACTATCAATGAGTGCTGTCATCTAGTAATACTAAGTACAGGCTGCAGCTTGAACATCCACACGGTCACATAAGAGCAGGAGAGGATCCCATCCCACTTCAGCTCCTTTTCTAGATCAGCCCATAGCTGCAAAACTCTGTGAGAGCAGAGCAGAGGCACATACACATGCAGAGGAACTATAAACCTTTCTTCCAAGGAAAACCACTCCAACTTAGGCAAACGTAAATCAAGTAACAGCTTCACAGCTGGAACAGATCTAAGAGTAGCACTTTCAGTGATCATTTCTGGATCTCTCTGCTATTGCAAGAGCTCCACGTACTTTGCCAGTAGGAATTAGGGAGCTTTGTTGTTTCCTTAATGGAATGTTGTTTCCTTAATCTGTCAGATTGTGGGTTTCTTTCCCGAGTTAAACCTGAGTGAGAACTGAGGATGAAGCCTCTGCCTTGTCTTGGTACCTTTCTCAAGGGGAAAGCAATCCCCAACCTTCACCACCTCTCCTGCGTACTATTCAAAAATGGGCTGTTGTACCATCTTTGCAGAATGTCAACTTTGTGCATCTTCTCGAGTTCCTGGTGCGAAAGCTTTGCGGCAGTTCTATTTCAGGACTGAAAGTTAAACCTGCACTAGTTATTTCAGAGTTTTGTGTATGTATAGCTATCAAAATCAGCCATAAACAGAAGAAGATGCCCAAATGGATAATTTCATACATAATTTCAGTGTAATATGTATTTGCCCCATTTTAATTAACATAAACAAGTTGCAAGATCCTCCCCAGCCTTAGAGTGGACCAAAGTAGATTTTCTGTCAGTAATACAGACAGAAAGCCAACGTAACTGCTGTTGCAGCAGTTAGCCAGCATTAGGAGTCCAGTGCAAGAAGTGCCACAATAAAGAATCTTTCCTATTTGTGTCATCACTTACTGTATCACGTTCTGGGTTACAGCCAGTAATACCGAGTTAAAGTTTAAAAAGGGGAGAAATGCCAACGGGTAAGTGGGGTTCTCCTCCAGATGAACAGGTAAGCTTATTAAGGCTAACAAGTGGCTGTAAAAGCTTGACTTTTCAATATGCTAAACTTCCTATACTTGTTAATCAGCTTAGAAGTTTCAAATTCCATCAGACTTGCCAATGTGCGTTTACACCTTTTATTCTGAAGGATACTTACGCTGCAATCAAGATTAAGAAGTCATAAGCATTTTGGCACACAACCGATTGGCCTTTTAACAACAGTATCCATTGTACTTTTATTTTTAATGCTGCCTGTAACTCTGCTTAAAGGAAACAAAAAGTATTGAAGGAGTACAGCACTTCACATGTGGATATCTGCAGTTGAAAGAGTGGAACAAATATTTTGTCAGTCCTAGTTTTCACAATGAACATAAATTCTGGTCACTGTTGTGAAGTTTGAACTTTGCTTGATCTTGCTTTTACACCCAACAGTTCTGTTTTCAGCTCTCCAGGCTTAGGAGGTATTTCAGGTATACTCTGTTAAAAATGGAGAAAGACATCAGGGTTGTGGCAGAAGAAAAATTAAATTCACAAAACAGTAAATTAGCATACTTTCAGGAGTCAGCATTATAGCTAAATTGTGCTTATACCACCCTCTTTTTGAGCACAGTATAATTCTTACATGCAAAACATTTTAAAAATTAAGCTATTACCTTTTTGTAATTTGACCTTTATTTAAAAGTAGCAAAATATGATTTGAAAAAAAGAAGGAAAAAGGAAGAATAGGCAAATTTCTTCTAAAGGAACAAAGCTTCTTTTGGCCATTTAGGAAAATAAGTTTGATTGAGATGTCTAGTACAGTTGACGTTTCCACACATATTCTTTCTCTTGGTGACAGAAGAAAAAGTTTCACTGCTTCTACCTTTCTGTTTTAGAAATTAAGCACTGAAACTGGAGATGAAATTTAAAAACCGAAAAGATACCAGATGACAGGGAATGTCAAGAACCACACCTCCTTAAGATTCGTGCTAGTTTAAAGAGGTGTAGATCATTAGATCATTCTGAATATGGCTATTTGCCTGTAATGAAGGCTACAGTAGACACTATTAAAATACACACATTCTTATGCATCTATCAGTGTTTTAAGCCTCATCACTTAAATTTTGACATGACAGCTCAAGCACGGCAATTTTTTAAACTTATTTCTGATTTGAAAATAGCACTGTGTTTTTTAAAAAAACCAAAAAGTATGCAGAAGCAGGAAGATGAGATAAGCCTTACAAGTTAGAAGGCCTCCAAGAGTCCTAATCAGCCATTAATATCCCCGGTGGATGGTCTCATTCGGAGCTTAGTTCTCTGTGACTGTAATTCTGATAGCCTTGATTCTCAGTCTGTCATTGTTTCTAATGTAAACTTTTGGTCACCCTCATTTCCATCACGGG